TTCTGTAAAACTCTGCAGTGAAGCTTAAACCTCCAACTCTAGGAAGAAAAACTTATTTTTGAGTGGAGGGGGACTTTAAATAACTTATTGACACTGACCATGTGAATGTGAAGTTGTGATTAATTCATCACAACAAATTCCCAAAAGAATAAGGAGATGACTCATAAACACAAACTGGCTGATAAATGCAAATTCAGAAGATGTTTTCCTTGCTTTTCATCGTGTCAGTGTGGTTTGTTGACACTAAAATACAACCTTGAACTTGATTTATACATTTAAAGGCGTCATATTCTGGCAACATTGTTATTATTTAAATAATCCCAATTATCTTTTAGGATTTCTGCTACATAACAGACAATTAAACCAGCTTCTGGTGGAGTGGACGTGATTAAACTGCATTATGAAGTACAGACCACACAGAAGCACTCTAAATTCTGAATTGCACTTTCTGATTCTTTAATGTACATTTCGAGACCTGTCTTCAACTTGCCTCACCTCTGTGACTGACAACTAGAGTTGATCTGGATTCAACATGTTGGTCTGTTGATGGGCAGAGGGGGTGATCCTTATATTATTTTCATGTGCTGGATGTGTGAAGGTTTGAAGGTTTACACTATATTGTTCATATATCAGATATATGATATGTGAGTCTTATAAAGCAGGTGTGTGAATGACTTTAAGATATTTTTTAAGGCAGTAGTTTGCTTGACTAAAGTTGAGGTCCTCCCTTAGGTGTGAGTCTACGTCACAGATAGTTGGGCAGCTGCTTGTCCTCCTTCTCCTTTCCTTTCAGGGCTTCAATCAATAATTTACCTGCCCCGGTCATATCGATGGCACCTACTCCCTTTTCTCTTCCCCTCACTCGCTTGCTCGTTCTTTCCACGAAAACTGTTGATGACAAGGGGGTAAAAGAGCTCATTAACAAATGACAGAAGAAGGGAGAGAGGGAGGAAAGCACTACCATTCTAACAGACAGGTGTTATCGGTCTTTGGAACAACAGCAGGAACAGAGGGACTGCAGTGAAGGTGACTTTCACTGCCTTAAGCCGCTGATACACAAGAATCGCCTGAAGAAACTTCTTCAGAAGTTTGAATGGGAATACAGACTCTTTACAGAAGTTTGTTCTGTCTCTGACGTTCACCTTTTGAGCCTTTGTGTTTATCTGAAGTTCATATTGTCTTTGAAATTGGTCACTATGTCGGGAGCCACCAGTGACCAGCTGCACAGATCAACTTTATCAGTTTATTTGGTGAGTCTTCTTGTTCTCTATGTTCAGTTTATGTGTGGACACATGGGTTCTAATGTAGAATTTTAAATGTAAGGGACAACTATGATGTATGTTTAATAATCACCTGGCTGGAGTAACTTGAGTTGAGTCTCCATCCAATTCCAAATTCCAGTGTTATTTGGTGATAGCTAAAGTGTTTCTTTTGGTGTGTTTGTTTGCATGTATTTCTCTTTGTGTGTTGTTACTGCAGAACCTGATGGAGCACTTCAATCCTGGCCTCCAGAAGCTTGTTGCTCTAGGAAACAGCTATGTCAAAGCTTTTCAAGGTCAGTTCATTTGTGATTGACTGGTTAGTAAATGTGTGCGTGTCTGTGTGCATGAATGTGTGTCTAATAGTTATATGAATTATTTTAATTGTCAATTTACGCACATAAATATGTTATTAAAGAATTGTGTCTTGAAATCCCATGTGGGATGAGCCAGAAATGAACACCAACTACACTTAATGTGTTAAATATAATACACAATCAAGTGGTAATTAGAGGACCCAATGCTCTAGGTGCTGTGACTGGATTGTTTTGTTTTAGTTGCTGTCAGTACTAGCAAAGATAGTGAAAGAGAATTCATGATAATTGAGATGCAGACGAAGGATACAAGAGGGCCTTAAGTGGAAGGTCATAAACCTACTGTAACCAAATCCACAAAGAAGTCACAAAAATGTTTCTGTACTTTCTTTTAATTTAGTGTTTGTGAACAAGCACAACCTTTTTCCTGAAGCTAGAAGTCACTGGGCTTGTGTGGGGCGTTGGCCTTTTAGAGTCATACAGTAAAGTGATACATTGAGTCGTGAGCCAAAAGTAAGTTTATACTTCAGTACAGATGAAGCAGAACTTAAACCACAGAACTTGAGGTACAACAAGAACAGCCCATCAGTCACAGGGCAACAAGGCAGCGTGGTAAAACTATACCCACTGAGATGGGGCTATTCCTAGACCAAAATCACATATCAAATGTCAGGACTGCGAGGCTTGTGTATTTAATGAATAAAGGCAGAATTGATTGACCCAATTAGGAGTAGTTTAACATGCTGTGGTGTCATTTAAAGCCTAGGAGTGTATAATGTTTCTGAGAAGCTTTTATTTTATTGTGCATTGTTGTGTGTGCTACAGCCTTAGCTGTTTGCAGTGAGGCCTACTTCAGTGCTGTGGCTAAGATGGGTGACCAGGCCCTTCACACGCTTTCATCTCGCTCTCTTGGTAAGTGTGCGTGTGAGTTTGTATGTGTGATTGATTACTCAGTCTTTCCATTACAGGTTTCACCCTTAATTTATTGCATTCATTACAGAAACCAAAGTGTCCTCTAGAGATGGCCAAGTGCTCTATCAAGTTAATGTCAAGCCCGATCATACTGACGCATCCCAGTAACCTTAAAATGACATCCTTCCATTGCTCTTCCTCATCCTCTCATGTATACGTCTCTGTGTGTGCTCATGAATTTGTATTTGTGTGTGTGTACGTACCCGGTCTTCAGTGCATGCATGAGTGCATATTTTCCACAAGCTTCACTTTCACTCTGTCCCAGGGGACGTGTGATAGCATTGTTAGTCGTAATTAGCATTATGCTAACAAATCACCATTGAGAGTGAGTAGGCTCATACATTAGTGCTAACGCAGCATGACACACATGTTTCTGCTAGATTGGCTAACTGAGAAGGTCAGGGAGCCACAGCGTGACCAGGGGCCATATTGAGTGACAACCTCTAAATTATAGATGGGGACAGTCTTTCAGCTGCACTCAATTCATTAGCTCCACTACAGTCCATGACAATACACGAGATCAGAGGCACCCATAATATAAAGGGCTTGGCTAACTTTCCACCATCATAGCAGTCCAGCAGGTTAGATCAAAAGAATCCCTAAATGACTTGAGTGGTGTTGAATTGTGTTAAATTCATATATCAAATTACTGACATTCCTTCAAATTATTGTACCTCTCTTTTTGTAATGGGCATAAACTCCCACAAAATTAGTAATATGGTAGGTCTAAGTGTCATGAGATCTTTTGAATTCTAGAGATTTCACATATTTTTTTAATTTAAATGGCTATTTTGTTGTAATATACTGTATAACACATCCAAATATAACAAATCATATAACAATATAATATGTGACTATTAGAAACAGTTCAGATCTCGTAAAGCATCATAGATGTTTTTGATATTTGAAATTGTGGCAGCAGGTTTTTCATGTGTAAGCTGATCTGGTCCGGTGTTAGTCAGTCAAGTCTCTGACTGACCCAAGTCTTGTTTTAAACAGGGGATGTCCTGATCCAAATATCGGAAACACAGAGGAGACTCACAGCAGAGATGGAGGGAGTGGTCAGTATAAGATTCAACAGTCTGGTTCAAAATTCAAGTGTCTTGAACAGTTTTATGTCTAACATGTTTTCATTTGTTTGTAATTATGCATGGTGGGGATCAGATTATATCTGAATAAATAATAAACATGTAGCAATGTCATACAGCACACATTGTTGTGCTGATTATGCTGTAACTGTACAATGATGGAATAAAACATGTAATTAAAAAGAATAGCAATGGAAATACCCTTGGTAGCATTTTACCCAGAGATTATTTCAATTCACTCATCTAACTGTAAATAAAGACAGCGAAAAAATGTATTCCCAAAATGTTTGAATCTTTTGTTAATTAAGAAATTTGTGAAGGATGCTGAGAGACTCATTTTTGACTTGTTGCAAACTGGTGGACTAAAGCTGAGCTTTACAGAAATCTTTTGGGAGATGTGTTCCCGCTTGCATTTCAATGCTTGTTTAAAATTCTAAGTACCACTCGAACCCTTGCGCTTGATTTCAGCGGCTTTCAGTGATGTGAATAAGCAAAACGTGGCCTCTGATTAAAAAGTTGGCCTGGAGCACATTTGCATATAGATGTAGTCAAACAAAACAACCTGCTATTGAAAGATACTGTTTGAACAAGGGGACAGTTCCCATAATGACTTGGTTACACCACAGGGACATTGTTTTTCTCTCTGCTACAGTTTCGATGGTTCCAGATAGAGGTGTTGCAAGCCATGGAGAAGAATGTCAAGTTGGATGAGGAGTACATTGATGTGAGTTTACTGGGTTGAGTTGAGTACAATGTTGGGGAACTTAATGGGCTATTTAGGTTAGGAGTGTGGTTTATGGTACCAGGCAGATATTGAGCTATGTATGTTGTTTTATGTATTATATGTACTCAGTGGAAGTCTGCATACATTTACTATTACAATTGTATGTATATTCTTCATTCTCCAAATAGAAATATTTAAAGTTAATGATTGAATAGAAAGAGATTATCAGTAAGATATTCATGAGTACATTTTTGCAAATAAATGTTTAGTGGTATTACTAAATTTAAGTACAATGGCTTATTCTTTCTTTGTGGCTCAACATATGAAGCTACTGATGTGTTCTTACCTGTTGTTGCAGACAGCTTTGCAGGAATGACTCTCATGTTTCTGGTCATTTTAGCATTCAGCATGCAGAATAGTCACAATACCAGACATTGATTTAGATACAGCACCACCTATAATCCAAATAATGCAAATCTGCTCATTTGAAACTTTCTGAGCAGGTCCAATTCCCCATTCTGAATTCTTCAGTATGGGGAAGTCAGTGCAGACCAGATTAAGTTGGGAAGTGTTGATGTCTGTGGAAAATGTGTGCATGTAAACATATTCAGGACACGTTTTCATCATCACATCAGAGCTTCTTAAATCAAACTTATTTCCTGTGCTGCAGGGTAGTCGCAGAGTGTATGAGCTGGAAGTGAGGAACCAGGCAGAGGTTTTGGAGAAGCAGCTCAGACGAGGAGCCTACAGAGACTCTCTGGTAGTTGCACACATAAACACTGCGCAGGTTCACACACTCACTTCGCACACATAGTCCAGTGGCAATACTTCTGTACCACTGTATATGTGCCATTTCTTATACGTGTATGTGTGAATGCTTCGGGGTGTGTGTGTGTGTGTGTTTTAGGAGAACAGTGAGTACATGCTGTACCTGAGGCAGAGTCAGCAAGAGATCCTGAAGGAGGAGGAGAGGAGGTATCGCTTCTTGGCAGAGAAACACTGTGGCCTCACTCAGTCACTGCTCTTCCTTATAAACAAGGTATACACACTCACACACACACACACACACCTACACACACGCCAGCATGGGTTAGCTAAAGCAACCTGCCTCCTCCTGTGGCATGTCTTAAAAATGAAATGAGCAGCTTAGTGAGCTTAGCTTTGGGTCTGGCTCAGTTTAAAATGGTTACCTGTGTTGCAAGGCTAATATGCACCAGAGAGGGCTAAGTTTAGGCCACTTGATCAAAAAGTAGGCAAACATTTCCTTACTGCAAACTAATGAGCAAAATATAAATGATAAATGCACTACACTCTACCTTTTGGTTAATACACATTACCTTTAGTATAGATTAGAATAAAATGAGAATTCATCTCAGATACAGGTGTTGGAAGGTATTACTTTCCAGATATGCATGCTGTGAATAAACAGTAATTTTCCTAACAGTTACAGGTTTTCTTTATACCACCATGGTCAAAACATTCGGCTGCGCTGCATTTTTATTCCACCCATGTGATAGCACGTTAATTACTTACCTATCTGATTAAATTCACATCTCAGTGTCCATCATCTCATTTACTGAAACGTTTCTCTCTCTCAATTTGTTGCTGCCTGATCAGGTTGAGATTTAATGAGGTGCTCAGCTCTCTCATCTGTTTTCAGACTGGTGCGTCTCTCCAGCAAAAGGCAGATGGATGGAAGGAGAAAGTGAGTGACACCAGAGGGTCCAGACCTCGAACTCCCACCCATTTGGACCAAGAGGCACAGGTACCAACTTGTTACACTGTTACGTCTATTATTTTGACCTAATGTGAACATTATACTCAGTCAATTAGTGTTTTAAGAACCAGAAAACCCGTAGAGAAGCTGTGCTTGCATGGGATGTTGCACCAGTGTCTGTACTATATACCCTCAGTGACATGATGTATGGAAAACTGCCCATCCTGTGCTGTGTTGAAATGACCATAAATGATTATGATTTACTGTGAAAAGTTTAAACATATAACTTATAATATACATTTGTACTGGGATTTACATGTGTAGTACACCAGTATTTTAGCATGACGTCATTATATAGACTGACTTTCTCTCAGCAGCCCCAACTCTGACTGACTTCCAGTGTTAAACCTTACTAGATTTTTATTTAAAAAATAATCTGACTGGATGCAGCAGTTCATTTACCTGTGTATGTTGTTTCTGACAAGCTGCGAGGCTCAGTGAGCTCCCTGCTGCAGACAGTAGCCAGAGATGAAGACATGTCTTGGGCCAGGAGGGAGCAGCAGGCACTGGGCAGAGTGCCCTCTAGAGGTGGGATGAGGACTGTAATGTGTTACATGTGTTAGGCTATGATTGTTGTAAATTAATGTGACTACATTTTGACAACCCTTGAAGCAAAACAAGATCAGCAGTATTTGCCTCTAAGTGACCATACGCTTTACACTTTCTGTTCTTCCTCCACTTGCCCACTCCAGCGCCGTCTCCCCTCCCCAGCCGCTCTCGCTCCAGCTCAGTCGGAGAATCTCTGGGTCTGGGTGGAGGGAGAGCCATGAGAGCCCTGGTGTCTCACCCCTCCTCATCCAACCCAAAGCTTCTACCTTTCAACAGGGGAGAGACTGTCACAGTACTGGTCCAGGAACCGCGCAACGGCTGGCTGTATGGACGCACTGACAGCAGCATGCGGTGGGTAGCTGAGATAGAAGGCATATTATGCATGCAGGTGCAGGAGCCATATGTTAATGCTTTCTAAGTGTTTTTACATAGGAATTAAAGTATCTGTGATATCCCATTGTCATAATTGAGCTAACAGAAACAAAAATAACAAAGTATTCTTTACCAGCTGACATTCATAGACACTTTACACTTGTACATGAATTTCAAGTCTGAAAAATACAGTGTATATTGTCTGACAATGTTTTATTGTATATACTTCTTGTTCAAGGACAAGAAGATTTATGGAGCTTGAGTTGTTTTGTTTACTGTTTCTTTATGTCTAACTCTATTATCTCCTCCAGTCAGGGCTGGTTCCCTGCTGCTTATGTGGCCCCTATTGAGGATTTCTCCAACACTTTAGCAACAAGGTAGGAATTACTGTCAGTCTGAGCAACAGATTTCAGCAAACCCATTTAGATGTTGGAAACAGTCCATCTCTGTAGGGTGACAGATTACAGTTTGACATGTTGACCTTGGATTTAGAGAGATCCTCACCTGGAAAACTGGACTTACACTCAGATGGTGGTCAGCATACAACCTGCTAAAGTGTCTTTGAGCAAGAGGTTGAATGCGTCACATTTTTAGGAGCTCGGTTCTTTGTTCTGTTCATTTTTTTCAGATCATAAACTTTAGCCTGACACTGAATACAGAGAGAAAAGAATGCTGTCTTACAGAGATCACACCACAAAATGACTAATATCTAATACCTAAAACCTAAATGCATATTTAGATTGCTGAAAAACATAGGCTTGTGGAGCATACCCAGCCCAGAAGTGGGATTTTTTTTTTTATTATCTATTTATTACCAAAATATTCCAGGTCACTGCCCTGCTATGAATAACTAAGAGTTCCTACATGTGCACCCTTGACCCCTCAGTGGTGGCTCTCTAAGAAGCCACAGCATGAACAATCTGCTGGATCCCACTGACACTTACACTGACCAATCAGAGAGCAAGAACTATGGAGATGTCCCACCTCCAGCCACACCCAACCGCAGAGCCTCTGTAGACTTCCGGCCAATCTCTCCTCTCCCTGAGAAGAAGCTTGAGCCATCCGTGGAGACAAAGCCCGGTCAGACGAAGACCTACAACGAGCAGCCACCCCCACCTCCTCCCCCGCCGCCGCCTCCTCCCTCGAATCAGAATCTTAGAAGGGCCTCTGCAGATTTTCGATCAATCTCTCCCCTCCCCGACAGGAAGGGTGAATCAGCATCTGATGTCCAGGTACCAGAGGTTTTTTTTCTTCTGTTCCATGTACATTAATCATACATCACTTGTTTTGATTGATCATATTGGCTTCTCTTTTCTTAGGCATTATCACCCCATGGACAACCTGAAAACCCACTGTTTCCCAGGTAATTTTTGGTGTGTTTAAGCTCACAGAAAAGAAAAGTTTGTATTTCCTGGACTGTGGACCCTCATGAATTCCAGTACCCTTTTGATATTTTAATTTGGATCATCTGGCTAAATGTTTTTACTTAAAAATCAATTTTTCCGAATGTATCCAAATTAGTATGCATGATCAGGAATATGAAGAGTTTTGGATTTGTGCTTATAGTAGTTGTCTGGGTTTCCACTGACACTTCATAGTATCCATTTATTCCATCCACCTCAACGAGAATGCAGTCATGAAGGAAAAAGTGAATACATACACAAGTTTTTTTGTATCAATGGATAGATATAGACTACAAATCTAATGCAATCATGTTCATAGTGCAGGTATATATATTTATATATATAGTTTTGTGGTTGCATTTTTTACTCAATTTTCACTTCATTAACATTTTGTACTGCAGACTAAGGCTTAAATCCCGAAAAAAAATATCATCAGTATCAAAAACAGATCTGGTCTGAACCTGAATTCCAGTCACAATTGTTTAAACCTATAATAGTCAAACCTCTTGCTGGGGTCTGGTGTTAGTTTCCTAACCTGGATTGTGTGCATGTGCGTATGTGGTTCATTTGTGTGGGAAGAAAGCAGTTGAGCGTGTGAGATATTGTGTTACATTTTTTGTCATCCTCTTGTTTCAGAGGCACAAACCCATTCGCCACTGTAAAGCTTCGCCCCACGACGACCAATGACAGATCTGCTCCTCGGATGCTCTGATCCATTGGCGCTTGTGCAGGCGGATTTTGTAACCGAGGCTGCCAGATCAGGTTGTGGGGGCAGGATATACATTTTTGTTTCAGGAGAATGTAATGACATCTCTGAAATGTGATGGCTTTTAGCCAGAAGGGAAGAGGAAGGTTTGGTGGGTTTTTTTTGTACAGTGTTAGATAAGGTGAAGTATTTCTTGTACCAAAAGCAAAAGTGACACTAAAGCAAATCTCAGTAATTTAATATCAAAACCATAAACTTGTTCTTCATTGTACAGTATTTATGTTTTATATAGATAGGTCTGTTTGTTTCTTGTAGTAGAAATATTAAAGGAATAGTTACACATTTTGGGTACTACGCTTACTCACTTTGTTGCTGAGAGTTAGATGAGAAGATCAATACCACTCTCATATCAGCCTGTAGCTAGTTAGCTTAGCATAAAGACTGAAAACACGGGTAAACACCTAGCCTCGGTCTGAGCCCAGAGGTAACAAAATCCACTTACCAGCACATTTTTTTGAAACAGCTAGTTTCTTGGTTTCAACCTTATTGATAAGCTCAGTTACCTGGGTGCTTTCTCCAGCAACATATTTAGTGTACAGACACGAGAGTGGTATTGGTCCTCTCATCAAAATCTAAATAAGCAAGATGAATATAACTGCATTCCCAAAATGTTGTACTATTTCTTTAAGCTGATAGTAGCATATGCTTCATTTTTTGCTCATGCTGATATGTATCTTGCTCTCATTCTATGCTAATTTTATAAGCAAACAGATGTGATTTAACAGAACATAAAATGAAATCCTTTCAAATCTGACTTGGGCCACGTTCACATTTGATCCTGAAATCACTACGATACATATTGGATCGCTCACATGCCATTAAGGCCATGGATGCTCCCCTAGTGATTGTACATTTGTAATCCTCTTCACCTCCTGTGATGAACATGTTTTGCAATGTTCGGTGCGTTATGTTTTGTGAGTTTAATGTTTTGTGTCCGCTGTGAGTAACAATAAGTAAAGAGACAGTTATTACTCAAGTTTTTTTTATTATCATTTCTTACTCAGATCGTTTCTCTCTTCATAGCTCTCCTTATATATCATTTTATTTACTACATCATCAGATCGGAGGCAGGGAGTGAGGAGGAGGAGGAGGAGATAGAGGAGAGGAGGTGAGGTGAAGGAAGGTGGATGAGGAAGAGGAGTGGGAGGAAAGTGCACTGATATGTGAACATCTAGAAGTAAAACCAATCAGACAAAATGCACAACCTGAAATACACAGAGAAAGGAAAAATAAGGTTTAAGAAGTCTTTATAACATCTACACCATCTACAGCACTAGAACCACCTGTTTTGAGACCACAAACTATCTTCATGAAATCATTAAGAATGATTCTGAAACCCATTCAGCATGTGTGATTAAATATATAAAAAATGAAAAAAGAAACTGATGCCTGTATGTTCCTCCTCATGGTAACTCCCTGTTGGCCTGCTTCTGTAGTGGTGTGTAGAGAGCAGGCCTGGTCTGACTCCATGTGTGGGGTCCGGAGGAGGGTGAGAGGAGTTTGAAGGTGGCAGTTACAAAATATGAATGCAGGGACGAAGAGGAGGAGGAGGAAGAAGAAGGGGGTGTTCAGCTATCTCCTACTCGTGCACCAAGGTCTCAAACTCTGTAAAGGAAAAAGAAAAACATTTGCACAAATAATGAGACAAGCTCTACTGACCTATAGCTTAAAGGGTAGCGGTTGTCAAGTCCAATGAAAAGACCAACAATGGATTGATTCTACTAACAAGTCAGTGGTCATATTCCTCTGTGCCATAGAGCTTCATTATTGCCTAAAAAACAATTTAAAACTAATCAATATGCCACACCGTTACACTAGGTGACAGGAACCACCACACACACAATATTCATTTTAAAGTCAATTCCATGTTCACCATCCTGCTGCCTTAAATACTAAAGTGCCGAACGTGTATTTATCTTTGTCTAAACGTAGTCCTGAACAAATGTACTGATTACTGCAGTATGAAAACTACAGTGCCTTTTCTAAAGATTCATATTAAGTACAAACAAATGTGCTTGAAGTATTGATAAACAGCCTGGTTGGTTTTGGTCTTTTCAGGGAATTTACAGATTATGCTAATTTATCATTTAAAATAAGAATAAGTGCATATATGTAGCCTAAATCTTAAATACTAAACCTCCTGTGAAGACCTAAACTACATCAGAAGAGCTAAATGTTGGCAACTGGTCAATAAATAGAATTTTTTTAAATCAAATAATTATTGGCACATTCATTTTCAAACATAATTTACATAAACAAATGTGCCAGCTTTTACTTTAAGGTTAACATTCGTCCCAGCTTCAGACTGTTGAAATTTCATGGTTTTAAATTGTCTTAGCTCTTTGGAGTGTGTATTGGCTGCTACCAAATGCTGTTTGTGTGAAAAATCCCACGGATAGCTCCTAAAATCCAGGTTGGATTTCCCACTGAGGCAGTGTTAGAGCTACAGTAAGCAATATTTAGCTTATACGAGAACCTGTATACATCCAACCCTCTACTCTTCTTTAAAAAAGCTTTGTTATTCTTTGCAGTGTTTCTCTGTTCTCTCACCATCAATGCCGATCTTGCCGTCTCCATCTTTGTCTGCGGCTGTGAGGAATGCTTTTGTCTCAGCGTCGGTCAGGTCTCTGCCCTCCTTGGAAAAGCCCTTCAGAACAAACCTGAGGAAAGTACAGGGTGTTGCAGAGAAGGATCACTGTAGGACAGCGTTAATTAACACATGACAGTGTGTATAGGACATAGAGCATAGAGCCCTTTTTGTGGTTTTGTATCTGTGTGAGTTCCTCACTTGAGCTCTTCTTCCTCTATGAAGCCGCTACCGTCCACATCCAGAACCTGGAAGACCTTCTTGACGTTTTCAGCTGACATGGCCTTCATTCCAACCATTTCAAAGAACTTTTTAGGGTCGAATGTTTCTGCTACAAAAGGCAAGACAGAAGGTACAAACGGAACCATGAAAAACAACTCTACTCTTCTAGCTTTACATTAGGCAGAAATGTTTTGGAAATTAATAATCAGCTTAAAGGGCACAGATGATTCTATCAGAGCTACATTAGTAGCACACATATAGAGCATGATAGACTAGTTTACTACACACTTGTTTTTAAAGATAAAAATGTGTGTGCATTTATTGTGTCTGCGAGGATCCAAGGCTAACTTCTGTAGCTTTGTAGGTCTGTTTCTGCTGAAAATACTATGTCAAACCACTGTTACCTGCAAAGGCATCAAGAGCTTTCTTGATCTCCTCAGCTTTCAACAGATCTGTCATCGCCATTTTGTCAGCTGGAGAGAAGGATAGAGAGCAACAAACATAGAGGACATAAAAGGTACAAAGTGAGAAATGAAAGGAGAGTATTTCAAAGAGTTGAGTGCAGACAACAGCTGAAATGGAAGCACAAGAGTGCAATATTTGGTACAAAAGCTAAAAGCCTAATTTAAACTGTTCACATTAACTGTGCATGTATCTGTGAATGTACTGGTTGTTAGTAAATGAACTAAAGGTCTGGCCTAGAGATATTTAGGGACTAGATGATAGAAAATGAATATACTCTTGGTTGGAGATGACACAAACATTAGCAAAGAGAATTTTAACCCTGGTTGACCTGGTAGAATTACATTTAGGCATTCAAAGGAAGCACTCAGTGATACTTGACACAACAGAGGAGATTATCCAAGGCCATAGTTCATAATTTAAGACATGGGCATATAATACAATCTGGCATACACTGAGGGGACACAAATACATGCAGTGTACCCCACTTCACACACACAACCAATTTATCTAACTATTCATTTTATATGCATACTGTACAGCACACACACACACACACACACACAAGCTCACAAATAATTAGCTACATTCATGTGAATTCTATATCTATTCTTCTAAAACGCATCCCTGTGCATCCCTCTATTGGACATAAACAGCATCTTTATACATCAAAGCACTTGTTACTGGTCTTTGCTTCCAATTTACAAACGACTGTAAACAGCTGGCTATACCTGTGCCGTATTAAACTTTGCAATGTTAAGACATGGAACATTAGAGAGAAGACCAACATGTAAAACAATAACATCACGTGCACATGGATGGCATCAAATGTACATGTAAAGCCAAACAAATTATAGCAATATGCAAACTGTCAGCTGCTTTATGAGAATGTCAAATGCCTCATAAAACAGTATCAAATTCCCTCAACTTGTGTCTCTGTATATGTTTTCCTGATTTCATCCTACAAAAATTCTATTCCCTTTAATCCTGTGGCTAATTTGCCAACACTTACATACATGTCAACATAGTATTGTAAGTATACTCCATGTCAATTACACAGTGTATTACAGATAACACAAGATTTAAACCCCTAACCTTTTCAGTGAAAATTATCTGTGTTCACAATGGAAAACTGGGCTATGTATGCAATATGAATGTGAAAAAGTAAGGCAATGGATCTGCTAAGTCAAGTTTCCCAAAAGGTTAAACAAATGTGAATATGTCCCTCAGTTGTAGTACCCTGTAGATATCAATAGGTGTCAGTACTGAGCTGAAGGCTATCAGGGTTCTTGTTTATACGTTTGGGGTGCTGGGAGTTGAAATGTTGAGCTGTCAAGACTGATGTTTGATTAATGTGTTTGTGCCTATAAGAGAACTGAGCCCCCTTGTGTATGTTGCCTTTGTGTGTGTGTCTGCGTATGTCTTTCTTATGGCATATAGTGATTTGGTGAGGGTATGAGACTCAGAGAGCCCCACTGGAGTAGTTTTGATATTTCCTCTGCAGGTTGCACTGTCTTGACCCTGAATTTTTTTTTACCCTCACTGACCAAAGGACAGAGAGAACTGAGATACATAGCCATCCTCTTCATTTCTACCACTTCTCAACTTTCTCTCCACCTGTTATGTGTCTAAATGTTTTGGCAGCAAAAGCCAATTAGCGAGCTTCTATTTGTGGTTTTTAAGATGTCTTGAGATGGGCAAACTTTTTTTTTTTTCTTCCCATCAGTGAGATAATGTATTACAAATAGAAAGCCTTGTTGTCTCAAGTTATCATCTTTTGGTATGTTTACGTTTGGACCCTAATTTGATCTTCAATCCATCAACAACAAACCTTCACTGACGGTTCTGGTCTGTCAAGTTGATCTGCATCTTGATATCCTGTCAGTGATGTTAGCATAGAAGTAAAAACTCACAGACATCCATGACATATGCATCCTATTCACAGGTTCTTTCACAATAGCTTTGACTTTGATGTGTGCAGATGATAGCTGAGGTGAAAAAAACTGTAATCAAAAGGTCAAAGCTTCTGTTTGAAACAAACGGGTCCTACGTGTCCCTGAGCCCTTTCCTTTTCCTCAGTAGCCTCAAATGTGAAAAACTGCAGACACAGTGACTGCTATCTGTCCAGTAGAGAACAAATATGACCACTGTTATGGATAAGTGAGGTTCTATTTTAGCGCCGTACCACGTCTGTTCATCCAATGACTTTTACTCGAGTGTGAATGTTCTTGCCTGTGTGCTAGAAATAAACAATAGAAATCACACTTAAAGTTTCGGTTCTACCTTTGCAATCAACGTTTTCCAGAGGGAGGCAGAAGTTTAAAAATTTGAAGAGCAGGCCAACATTGTCTGAAAACTCAAGAAAGCTACATCAGCCTACAGCACAAAAGATCTCCGCAAGTTAAAGATTGAAACTCTGGTGAAAACACTGTCAGAAGGAATAGCAAGTGTTTTATTTATAAAGTATATTTATTTAAAACTGGCAGTCTGATCGAGCATCCTTTTCAACAAGGGCTCAGTCAAAACAATGCAACGACAATGAAAAACATCTACAATATGCATTACTATTACTTACTGTACTTAACGTCATAGCTACCATGCCATGGCACTGTGCATAAACACCTGTTCGTGGTGACTCATGAGCCAAGTAAAACAACCATTAGACCAACACCTGCGCCTGACATTAGCTTTCATTTCATACATGCTACTGCAGAGACGATAAATAAAAAAGGAAACAACACATGGCAGCGCGAAGGAGACATAAACAAGCTTTTTAGAAAAATAATTCCCAATACCAAATTCCAGAAAGAAAAAAAAACATCCCTGTGTTTTAAGGGACTATGGGCTGGGTTATTTAAGAAAAGAAGTGATGCACACAGAAAGGTGGAACGAACTGATGCACATTCATCTTGATGCTACATGTATGTGGGTTGTGATTGCTGGTGTAGACCCTAATTTCTACATTTCTTTAACATTAGGTTTATTGGGAATAAAAGCATGTATTGTATTGAATGGCACTCCAATAGTTCGTCATGTTGTGACATTATATCATGTTTTTTTCATCTGTATTTTTATGGATTTCACCATAGTGCATTAAATTCAGGTCCTCTGATTCATCCTCTGATGGATTCAGAACACAATCCTGCTATAAAGCTACAAAATAGTTTAAATTTAACTGCAGCATATGTGCTTGTCACAGATAACCCCAGCAATCAGTGTTTCATTTTTCTGTTCACAATAGCCTAAAGCTCATTCACTCGTCACTCATGACCAAAGCACCTGAAGGACATCTGATTTCTATTGTGTGTTTTTTTAAAATAGCTATTATCTGCTAAAACATATATTTCTTTTGTGTCTTACCTGAATGAAGGGGTGGATGAGTTTACCTGAGAGGAGAGAAAGAGGGCAAGAGGGAAGGTGATGGAGAGAGAATGGAGTAGAGAGAAGGGTTGGAGATGGAGGTAAGATGAGCAAGTTGGGGGAGGGAGGACACAATAAGACTTTTATAGCTGCCTCCAAACACATACACACTTACCCCATATACCCCCACTCACGCACCACATCCCCACCTCTCAGTATTCTCTCTATTTTGAGAAAGGTGGGGTGGTTGTCAAGACATGACACACCGTTGGCCCTGGAGTGCGATCTCTTTCTACGCAGCACTAACGTATCACACGCTGGCCTATTAATAATACCACTTTATCTGACTGCCCTCAGACCTTATCTCCTCCCTGTGAGACCCTGTTCCTCTTTTGTTTCTGAACACATCTATCTTTTCTTCTCTCATCTTCTTTGATTTATCGTTTTCATGTTCAGAAGCCTCTATCTTCTCACTGTTACAACTGCCACTATTTTGTCCCCATTTAAGATGGGGGTTTAATATACAAGGGGAGCATTGAAATCGCAGTCTGACAATGCTGTGCTGTTGTTGCAGTTTTATTTCAGGACTTTTTCTTTCCAATTATAAAGTATATAATATTAATAATTTACACTCGTACACCTAATGTCATGTACATACTATAAAAAAAGCCTGTATATGAGAGGCTTAAACCTTGTGCAAAGACATTAATTATAAATAATTAAAGAAGAAATTATAAATCAGAAAACATGGGGAGAAATTACAATTATATATAATATAATATAATCTCATCTAGCCATCAACTTTGTAAGTGAAAAGCAATGTTTAGATAAGAAATGAGATTGGATCTAAAATTATAACAACTACTAATAACACTGCCTTTTGGTTAAAGCTGCGCTAATATGGATGAAATGTGTCATGTGAAAGGTTTCGGAGGAGTTATCACCCGACTATGCAATTTCTCTGAGCCATCCAAATTGTTTTAGCGTCTTTCAGCTCATTGATTTCAGCAACAAAGCTCTACCTTACCTTACCTGCTCAGCACGAAACAACAGACAGACAAAGTAAGCAACTAGCTCGTCAACATAGTTGAGCATTTAGCAGCTGAAGAGCCAGATATTTCCTTCAGGAGTTGGTGGAGACCAAAACATAGCTAAAAAAAAATTGACTCTGAGTTGTTGGATGTATAAACAATTTTATGTCTGTTGTGGACTTCTGCCCCCAAGTGGTTAAAATAACTGATGCGGCTTTAAAGAGACCACCCTGGTACTGATACTGTAATTCATAAAAATCTCACACACCAAACGTCCAATACACATATCTTCAACCCTTATTTGAAAAAGTCAGTTTCTTAATTGCAGATGTGCTGCACTTGAACTTGTACCTCAAACAGCCTCTACTCTTCACTTTCCCTCAGTATCTCTCCCTCTCATTCTGTTTGCTCAAACTCTGTCCATCACTTTCCTAATCTCTCGTTCACGTCTCCTCCCCTTCCACTTTCTTCTCTCCATATCAAAGACCAAATTGGCTCCTCTTTCTCTGCATCCATATCTTCTTATGCCTCTTCCTTTATCACCTATCAATCTCTATCCTGTCAGGACTGTGACAGCTTGTGTGACTCACTGTCTCTTCCTATCGCCTTCTTTTTTTGTTTTGTCCCTTACACCCGTCAAGGCCAAGAGGGGACTTAATTTATGTAGGTGCGTGTATGAGAGATAGAAAGAAAGAGAGAGCCACGTGATCTGTTACAAGGCTGCAGCCAGCATGAGGCAGTAGACTTCTTATCATGAGAACTGTATGGTAATGTTGATATATTTTAAAACAGAAGTTTGTAATGGCTGATAATCCAAAGTTTTTAACCATTTTATGCACTCCAGGACTAATTTGACATCAGTGATCAACTGGACTGCACTCACCTGCAAATCTTATGTGTCAATAGGAGCCTTGAATCTAAACACTATCAGCCAATGGCCTATAGTCGCCTTTTTCAAGATTTAAGGGTCCAGTTTGTAACATGTATGATGCTCTACAGGCAGAAATGGAATATAATATTCATAAGTATGTTTTCTTTGGTGTATAATCACCTGAAAATAAGAATGGAAGAATGATTGTATTTTCGTTACCTTAGCCTTTGTTATCTACACAGGGAGCGGGTGCCACTAAATCCTACACGTCTTTTAAGATCATTTCCTCTTTTTTTTTGCATTTTGGCTTTTGTTTGACAGTTGACATAGTAGAGAGACAGGAGATAGAGAGAGGAGTATGACAACAAAGATCCCCGGCTGGACATGAAAGCAAACTATTAGTGGAAGAACATTACTCACATACATAAAAATAAATCACCTGCATTTCAGAGACCATGTCCCAGTCCCTACCATACAGTCTTGGAACTGTGTTGCTTAGCCGCGTTATTCATAAAAATACTTGTCCGTTAGTCTTTGTCTGTCTGTCTCTGTCTCTTCATGTTCTGTGCTGACCCTCTGTACTCTGTGTCCTGTCCTGAGACTCTCTTAGCTCTTTCCTCTCTATTGAATTACCCCTCATCAGCACTTTCCAGCATTGTAGAAGGACGAAGGAGGGCGCGGAGAGGTGGCGAGGATAACACACTGACAAGATTTGTCGTGGGGAGAAAGGGTCAGGAGAGGAAGATAGGGAGATGCAGAGATACATATGGATGGGTTAATGTAAATGAAATGGCAGTAAATAAGGTCAGGCAGGCCAAGAGTGGACAAAATTGGAGACAGGAAGAGGAATTGAAGGGGATAATGAAGGAGTAACAATTTTATTAACAGAATAAACAAAGTGGCTGGAGGGAACAGAGAGGATCAGAAACCTGTGTATTGTTTGTATGCTCATAGTTGTAAGCGGCCATAAAAAAGTGTTAAATAACTATTTATTCTTAAATAAGAGAAAGAGACAATTCAAAAATGAATACATATGCAGAGATGCATACATCCAATAGATGCATGAATAGATATTTGAAACACAGAGCTTTACAGATCAAATTGAAGAAAGGGAGAAAGACAGTGACAGACAGAGAAAGAGAGAGGCCTGAATTAAATGTGTTTTTAATTACCAACTTGCTATTCAGCAACAGGTGGTGCATTAAGTCATGGCAGGGGTAGAGGCAAGCCACAGCTGTGTGTGTGTGTGTGTGTGTGTGTAAGGGGGGTACTAATATCACTGGGGTATCCCTTGTCTACTCACCCAAAGATTGGCACATATTAGCCCTAAAAATAAACATGGGGAAACCTGTGACTGTACTGATAGGAAACTGCATTTGAATATTAGATATGTGCTTGTACAGTGAGGACTCAGTCACCTACTGTAAGAAGCAGGGTTCACAGCTTTTCAGTGTAACCCTTTTTTTAGCCTGTAATTTGTACCTTATCATGTGGTATACGTTCTCAGTGTAAATCCACATGTATACAAGACTAGATCAATAATTGTATAGGCTTGTTGTTTTCAACACCACAACTGGTGAAGGAACGATGAAACGTCTGCATTTTGGAGTGACTATCACCTGTTGATTTTTGGTCTAGAATCTGAAAACTTTTAGAAATAATTACTAATATCATTAATTTTGTTACAGCATCTTGGTCTAGATGGATGTTGGTGTCTGTTTGGTCTCTGTGTGATCAGTAGACAGACTGGTCCAGTTTGGTGCAGAGGCTGGAGGTGTTGGGAGGCAGTCAGCCTCTACCAAAAGAGGAGAAATGCAACTCATGTTAACTAACAGTTGTGTGTTCTTAGGAATGTAAAAACAGAACAAATGAAGTATAGATGTGGAAACTTTAAAGGTGTTTAACAAAACATTGAGTAACAAAAGTTATGTAACTATTTTTTAATGCTGTTGAGTAATTAGTTTCCATAGGTAATGAGCAACTGATGTTCCAGTAACTTACATAACATTAAGGAGTTTGCGGTTCTCAGTTTGTGCTTGTTCAGGTTGGAGACTTAACTACAGCACCCCTAACAACCTCATGAGTTCAGTTTAGGCCATTCTGTACAGTAGAGTGGGAGAAGGAAGCCCCAGTCTATGCCAAATGTGCATGACTGCACTGCAGGCGCTGGTTATAGTGGTATATTTAGTGCTAATGTTACGGCTGGTGTGTGTGGGCGAGTGTGGGAGATGGTGAGTTTTAAAAGGAATACACCAAGTTGTTGGGAGTTTGGCTTGTCACACAGCCAACCTGTTAAGTAATGAGAAACCAAATCTTCTATGTTTTCCTGGTAGATTCCAGTTAGTCATGCTGATTGTTTAGTGTGCTCTATGTTTAGGGACAGTGGGTGACTAACATTAGCTCTGTAGTGAGAAAATGAAAACTTCATGAATTTAAACTTAACATAAAACATATAACACAATCACTAGAAGTGCACCCAAACTATGTGTAGTGCCAAAGTACAGGTCCTTATTACTCACACTGTTGCTATAGACACAATATATTTATATATTTTAGACACAACACAATTGTTAAAGGCCCTGCAAACCCACACAAGAGTTTTCAGTTAATCTGATTAAATAGATGTATGCTCAGGTCAAAGTTGGGCAGGGCTGTGCGGGGTATTACCTGAGGTCACCAAACTCACTGCACCAATAAGAATGACAAAGATGTAACTGTCGTACCGTGGCATGTACAGCAAAGCTAAAAGAAGGGCGTGTGAGATACATACCTGTGTAGGTGTGCTTATAGTTGTGTAGGGTTTGGTCATAAACACCTTCAGCTGTGAGGAAAACATTTTTTGGAGGTTCTTCTTCTATTTCAATTTATCAACACATAGCCTACTACTAACTATGGTATGTCTGATGAGCTGTTGGCACCTTGCATGGCCGTCTGCTATCAGTGTATGGATGTGTGTGACATGTAGTGTAAAGCGCTTTGGGTGTCTGGAAGAAAGGCGCTACATAAGTGCAGTCCATGATAAAACATGAACACACAGCAACAGATTTTTCATTACAATTGGAAATGTTTGGGCTACAACCACATGAGTGTCTGACTTTCCGAAAATTAGCTTGGACACTAAACAAATACTTACAATAATTTAATTTCCGCATAGAAACCCTATTCTTGTGATTCTAAAACAACTGTTTCCAGTTCTACTTCAAAGGCAGTAGATATTCTTGTCATGAAATGTCAAATGTATATGTATGACGTCTGTGTAACTGTATTGGACAGAGAGGTCCCTTTATGCTCCCAGTTAGCATTTTGTTTTGGTAATTTGCAGGTCAGAGGATGTCCAGGCATTAAATGTGTTGTCTAGGTTGTCAACATCATTACAATGACTATATTTCAATTCGTAGTTAACCAACAATTATATGTAACACACATTTAAAACCAAATGGAGCCCAGTTTTAACCTCGAGACATAGATGTCTTCTGATCTGCAAATCACCAAATCAGAGCTAACTCCTGCTGGTCATTATGCATTAGATCCCTTTCCGCATTACATGCCCTCGGGACAAAAACAGTCTATGCCACTTAAAGTCATTGTTCAACAAAATCCTACAAAAATCATAACTCATGTCATATCCATAATAATAAACTATGACGAGTTATTACTTGCAGGTAATGATAATGTTCCTTAGCTCTTAGTTCGGTTAGACAACTGCACAGGACACTATGTATTATCTTATGTAATGTCCTTCTCAATTTACACACAATGTATTAGGTTAGCAGAGCTTTTTTTGTCTAAGAACTTTGCCAACCATACTTGTATACATTGCTGTCTTTTAAAAAAGGACATGTTAAAGTAAAGTAGTTCAGTGGACATCAGATTTTGGAAAAACATTCCAGTTGTAGCCCCGGTATTATAGAAACAGAGTGATGTTACCCTTCGACATAAAGTTTTAGTATTTAGATTAGCCCCGTGCTCAGCTTCACCTCTTCCCGTTTTTACTTTCCTTATAACGTCTCTACGGTAACCAGCTGTCAACATGGTAAACACAAGCTGTGTGTTTGATGAGACTTTCTGTCACTCTCACTTCTTCTGTTTCTCTGCGTGTGTATATGTGTGTGTTTTGGTACCTGTTTGTCTGTCAACTTAACGGCTTATTAGATTTCATCCGCAGGCGTTTTACAGTGTACTTTTGTTTCAAAGTTATATTCCAAGGCTAGCATGCAATACACTATATACAAGCACAGCTACAGTACACTCTGTTAAACACACACACATAACCTCACGTATACACATTCACAATCCGCAAATTCTCTCTTATACACACACGTAACCAAGCACAACAGACACTAGCAGCTGGCCTGACCTTGAAGATAAATACACCCTTGAAAAATGTTTCTGCAATTCATGGCTGGCAATGGTCTGTTATACGAGCAGTGTTTCAAAGGATCCATCTCAGGCTGCATGAAAATAGATATGGAGTCAATATGTGCTGCACACACACACACACACACTCCTCTATGCAGCATCACACTCTATTGCACTCTATTATACACACAATGAGAACTCAGACTGTATAACACAAGAAAATATTCACACCCACACAGTTTATTCCTTGTACACACTCCTACATTGTCTTTCCATGTGCCCTTTCTTGTAGTTGATTAAGTTTTTTCTGTTTGCACACTAATAAGTTGAGTGTGACCTGACCGACTCACAGCTCTGAAACATTCACATAAACGCTTTTATCTAAATGCAAACAATAAGTCACAGAATTGCAGTGAACACAACGCAGGGAAAACGCCTTCAACACACCTGGTTTGATTTACTGAAGCGTGTAACTGCTGTAATCCCTATCCCTCTCATTTTAGTCAATCTGTGTATGTAGTCAGTGATGAAGTGACTCAGGCTGGTACTGAAGCTCAATGTGGCTGTGGTCTTTATTTGGGAAATGCAACTATAAGCAAGAGGTTTGCTGAGCGATTGTGTGTGAATATGTTGACATACAGTATGATAGTGTTCAGAGAGTCTGAAGTAGACCCGACACCACAAAGACAGATCAGGTGGATCAAGATTGATTAGAACTTCTAACCACAATCAGTAACCTGTGTTTCATCTTGAGCACTTAAAAACTGTTAGATTAGACAATAAATCAGGGTTCTCTCTATCTTTCACACACACACACACAAACACACACACACACACACACACAAACCTCCAGCACAGCAACAACTTTGCTGACATCTAGTGTTATACGGTTTAATCACCTCCGATTTAATGTCAGAACCGTGTCCCCTGATTTTTATTCCAGTTATTTCCCCTCTGATTAATTTCACCAATCACCAGCCGTTATCAGTGTTCACCTATAACTGTCAACTACAAGAGAAGGGTGAGAGGTAAACACTGTGCCATGAAGTGTTTGTGTAAGGATGGGTGTGTCTACGTAAGTGATTTGGAGAATGTGAACGTTCTGCTTCAGGTGAGATAAGACGGGAGAAAAGAAAGCAAGAATGTCAGCACAATCTGCAAAAAATATGTTAAAAATAGTGTATACCACATTTTAAAGCATAATGCACATGAAAATGTTTATCCCA